GAGGAGGGGGAAGACCCCCTCCCCATCCTACTTATGGCGGTGGCGGTGGAAAACAAACCCACCACTCAAGACTGCACGGTCCATATGCGTTGCCAAAAAGCCAGCGGCCGCGTCGTCAAGGCAGGGTGCAGAGCTGTCTGGGTCAGGAGGGAAAGAAACACACAGACACAATGAATCCTCGATTTCCCAGGAAATACGGGAAACTATGGGAAGTGGGGGGGAATACATAAACCCATACGTAATAGATGCGAACATATGAGCAATATTGCTATTTGTGTGTTTTCATTTATGTGTCCCAGGGCCCCTTCACTGGACCACGCCCCTCGTTCGGTCTGGGGCCCCATGGAGTCCCGACTCCTCGTCCAGGACCCCAGGACGGGGTTTGATCACAACCCCCAAAGACACCACCACCTGTATACGATGGGCCTGTTTCCCACCACCACCACCACCAGAAGTTGGAGGGGGAGGGGGTCCTCCTCCTACTCCTCCTCCTCCGCCTCCTCCTCCTCCTCCTCATCCTCCTCCTCCTCCTCCCCCTACTCCTCCTCCTCCTCCCTCCTTCTCCCTCCTCCTCCTCCTCCCTCCTCCTCCTCCTCCTCCTCCTTCTCCTCTTCCTCCTCCTCATCCACCCCCTTCCCCCCTTCAACTTATGGTGGTGGTGGTGTTGGAAAACAGGCCCATCAGCATACGATAGGTTCGCGTCGTGTCGACCAGCGGCGACCCCGCCGCCGGCGATCAGCGTTGAACGCTGGCGACCCAGAATGGCTCGACGTTGATCGTGCTGACGTTTCGGGATCGGCCGATCGTTCATGGTTGAACGATCCAGCGCGGCCTCAGGAACCAACGCCAGAGTCGGCACGACACGAACCTCGTACTTTTCAACGGCGGCGGGTCTATACAGGTGGTGGTGGTTGATCGCCACCAAACGCGCAAACACATGTGTTTGCAACTCGCCTGTGTATGCCAACCGCGGCTTCAGCAAAAGAAAAGACACTGCTGTCTGTTTAAACAGGTGTGGTTGTCTTGCGTTGATCAGATTTGCACCCTCGCCCCCCTCAAGACCGAATCCCAGACCTTCCCCAGGATCAGTGTTTGAGCCTCCATGAGGCACGAGGGCAACCAACATTCCCAGCGCATGTCTCGAAAGCTCAGCTTCTCGAGTCTCAGCCTTCGACCCCCCTCAGTGTGTGGGCCCTGACTGAGTCGATCTCCTGCTGGACCGCCTCCAGGGATGCGCCCTGGCCAGAGCCTTGAGAGCAATATCCGGCTGTGGCCACGAGGCCGTCCCGGGAGGCCCCAGCAGACGCCCGACGACCTCCTGGGGGCCCGAACCGGTGCGGCGACCACACCGTCCAGTGAGCCAGTGGGCCTTCGCGGTTTTGGGATCTGGGTCATTCTCCGAGGATGTCCCAGGGCACCTGGGCCCTCAGAAGTCCCCCAGACATGATCGCGTCGTAAAAAATAAAAAAACAGAACGAAGGTTTTTCGCTATGTTCGGCCCCTGGGGGCCCTCGCCAGACCCCGGGACCGTCAAACGACGATTCAGGATGACAAAACGGCCCGGGGAAAGGGTCGGGACTTCCGGGGACGCCGTCATGAAAAAATCAGGACGTCGCGTGTCTGGGCCCAGAACCTCGCGGTGACTGATGTGCCTGTTTCCCATCACCACCACCATAAGTTGGATGAGGGAAAGGAGGTGGAGGAGGATGAGGAGGAGGAGGAGGAGGACGAAAAGGATTAGGAGGAGGAGGAATCCCTCCCCCTCCGACTTAGGGCCCTCAGGAGCCCCCAGCACCTCAAGGGGACAGACCGTGCGCTGAGGTCTCCTGGGATTTTTCGAGGGCGCCAGGCGGTCCGTCGCCGCCCTCTCTGCCGGGACCCCGCCAGCCTCGCTCCCCGCCCCCTCGATGCTGCGGCGCCTCGAGCCTCGCAGCGTTTCGGCCTCCGGACTCCTGGTGATGGGCAGCTTTTCCACCATCGCTACCACATGCAGGACGGGGGAGAGGGGAGGATGAGGAGAGCCTCCTCCTCCTCCTCCTCCTTCTATTCCTCCTCCTCCTCCTTCTATTCCTCCTCCTCCTCCTCCTCCTCCTCCCTCCTCCTCCTCCTCCTCCTCCTCCTCCTCCTCCTCCTCCTCCTCCTCCTCCTCCTCCTCATGTTTCGCCTTCGCCGCGTGAGCCAGCTCATCCTTGCAGCGGAAGCACATGCCAAGAACCACCCTGCTTGCCTCCAGGGTGCCCTGGGCTTTGTCTGGGGGTGTCGATGGTGCTGCGATGGAGAGCGCGACGCTCCCACACCAAAATTCTTTACGCTTCGCGTATCCCCACCAGCCCATCTCACAGCAGCAACTCTTGCGAAGCATGCCGACAGTCGTGTTTTTCAGGCGTGTGTCCGCTTGGCCCCGCATATCTCCCCTGTTCCTCCTTCCTCCCGCCTCCTTGTACATCCTCCTTGTGGGGGGAGCGGGAGAAGGACGAGGCGGAGGAGGAGGGAGAGAAAGCGCTCCTCGTGATTTGAGTCGTTCGGGGTTTCTCGTCCTGGTGTGAGTCGTTCGGGCCCTTCTTCCTGGTGTGAGTCGTTCGGGCTCTTCGTGGTGTGAGTCGTTCGGGCTCTTCGTCCTGGTGTGAGTCGTTCGGGCTTCTCGTGGTGTGAGTTGTTCGGGCCCCTCGGGTGAGTCGTTCCCCCTCCTCCTGGTGTGACTCGTTCGGGCTCCTCGTGGTGTGAGTCGTTCGGGGCCCGCGTCGTGGTGTCCTCGTGGTGTGAGTCGTTCGTCGGTGGTGTGAGCGGGCCCTCCTTGTGGTGTGTCGTTCGGGCTCTTCGTGGTCGTTGGGCCCGTCGTCCTGGTGTGAGTCGTTCGGGCTCCTCGTGGGGCCTCTTGGGAGGCCTCTTGGAGCTCTTGGGGCTTCTTGGGGCCTCTTGGGGGCCTCTTGGGGGCCTCTTGGGGGCTTCTTGGGGCCTCTTGGGGCCTCTTGGGGGCCTCTTGGGGGCCTCTTGGGGGGCCTCTTGGCGCCTCTTGGGGGCCTCTTGGGGGCCTCTTGGAGGCCTCTTGGGAGCCTCCTGGGGGCCTCTTGGGGCCATCTTGGGGCCTCTTGCGACCTCCTCAGAAGCGCACATGAGCGCTGCCCCCTGAGAAGGACAAAATGAGCCCAAAACCTTCGTAAAATCAATGATTTTGCTATGAGGGAAGATGAGCGCGGCCCCCTCAGGACGCCAAAATGGGGCCAAAACCCTAGTAAAATCAATGATTCTGGCTTCAAAGAAGAGGAGAGGGTTTTTTCTCCCTCCCCCCGTCGGGGCCAGAATCCTCGTGAGGGTCGTCGTTGTTTGGCCCTCCCAGGGGTCGAAAAAGACCCCCCTGAGAACACCCCGGAGTCCCTGTCCAGGCCCAGGGGGAGGGGGTAGGGGGAGGGGTAAACCCCTCCCCGGAGGGGAAGAAGGGGGGTTGAGAACAGAGAGGGCTCTCTAAACCACGCACGCCCAAAGGGCTGGTGGGATTCCATGGGCGTCCTGGGGTCTCAGGGTTGGGCCTCTTGTGGAGGGTCTCTTGTGGTCGGCCCCTACTGTAGTTCTCCTCCTGGGCCGGCCCATCAAGCGTCCGACGCCCCCGATCTTGGACCCCTCGATGCTGCGAAGATGTGTGCTGGAGCCTCGCAGCGTGTCCGCCGTTTTCGTGGTTGCGTCGTGTCCGCTCGAGCCTGCCGTCCGTCGTTTTCGTCATCACGTCGCGTCGTCCCCCTGCACACTGCCACTGGGCTCCCGTTTGCTGGTGAAAAAGAGCTCGAGCCTCGCAGCTCCTTCGGCCTTCTCCTTAGATGTCCACGTGCAGCTTCAATTCACCGCACCGTTTCGGCCTTCCTAAACCGCCCACGCACAACTGAACGAGCGTGCTGATCATCTGGCCGAATGCGGCGCTGGGCTGGCCTCGGAGGACAGGCAGCCCCGGGTCCAGTCTCTTCACCTGCCCGCGCACAGTTTCAAAGCACCGTACCGTGGAGGGTCGCCCGGGGGAGTTCCCGAAGCCGGCAGCTTTCTCATGCCAGCTCGGCCAGGGCCTTGGACGACTTTGCATTGGCGTTCGCATCCTCCCCTTCTTCCTCTTCGTGCTCCGTCCTCCTTGTGCGTCCCAGAGTTGTCAAGGTTCCCTTGTCCGTGCTCAGGTCCACAGTCTGAAATGCCAGCTTTGGAAGCTCCCAAATACAATGAGTTCCAGGGGGGCTGACGAGGGCAATGTTCCAGAGTTGTTCGTCGTTTGGGGTCTCCAGACAACATTTCCCGCCCGTTGGTACTGTGCAATTCTTTTGTTGTATTCCTGGGGCTGGAGGTGCTATGCAACGTACCGCGTCTGGCTTGAATCCATGGCCTCGGTTTTGCTTTCTGACATCAGGGCGATTCTCTTGTGCGTGGTTGTCCCATAACTCACGACCCCGCCGCAAGGCATTGACCCGCCGCAAGGCATTGGCCGGCCAGTCGCGAACGACATTTCGAGCGAGGCGAACGAGCGATTCATTTTGTGGCACGCACGACGAGGATGCCCTGCCCAATTTCGGATTCGCAGTCCTTGCGAAGCGACTCGCGCACGCAACGCAAAGCCGCAAGGCCGATGCCTTCAGCCCCCCCCTGATCTTGGTCTGGCTCGGCCCGGTGGCTATCCATCGTCTGCGTACGATGTACTCGACCCTCGCAGGTCTCCCGGCTTCCCCACTAACCTCGATCGACGTTCTTCGACCCCCGAAGATCGAGGATTGACGATCTTCGATCTTCCCACGCGCCCGCGCGCCCAGGGGAAGGCGGAGGAGGAGGAGGAGGAGGAGGACGAGGAGGAGGAGGAGGAGGAGAAGGAGGAGGAGGAGGAAAAGGAGGAGGAGCTGCTGGATCCACGGTCCTCGAGGATCGACGGTCTTCGATCCTCGAGGCTCGTGGACCGATGCCCGAGCATCGGCCTCGATATGCTCGCTCTGCGTCGCTCGAGCCTCGCAGCTCTCTCGGCCTTCCCCCCGCAGGACTCCGGGTTCCGCTTCGGGCGCCACGGGGACCCCTTCGGGTCGCTGCCCCCGAAGCCCGCCCCGATGCACCCGTTCCTGAGCGGCGGGCGCCAAGGGAGGTCGCCCTTCGTCCCGTCTTCTCCTCCTCCTCCCCCCCTCCTCCTCCTCCTCCTCCTCCTCCTCCTCCTCCTTCTTCCCCTTCCCCTCCTCCCTCCTCCGCCTCCGCCTCCTCCTCCTCCTCCTCCTCCTCCTCCTCCTCCTCCTCCTCCTCCTCCTCCTCTACACTCTCCTCGTTTTTCCTTTGTGGGGGTCTCCTGGGTCTTCGTCGTCGCCACCGCTGGATTCGCCTCGAAGTCCTGGTCAGAGCGCACCCCAGGAGAGGTCTGGGGAGTAGCGGTATCAGTACTCCAGGTTGCGTAATAAAGGGAGGGGGGTCTCATTTCGGGGGGGGTCTCTTCCAGGCTATCTTGGAGGGCCTGGGGGTTCTGGGGACGATGTTTTGGAGGGTTCTCCCGCGGGGGGGGGTCTGAAATGGCCTGTCTTGGAGGGTCCAGACCCCCTGCCTTTTATTACGAAATCTGGAGTACCTTTTTGGGATCCCCATCTTCGTCCTGTCGTAAGGGTGTTGCTAGCAGATCGTTGGGAAGTCATGGAAGCTTCCGCCCGTCTCGAACCGACGGTATATGGTCGGACTGAGGTGGCAGATCGAGGTCGGTTCGAGGAGGGTGCTCTCGCGCTTTTCGTGTTAGTCGCATGTTTTTGTGCATCCTGCCCCCCTTGTCCTCCCCCATCTCTGCCTAATTCAAGCTCCGCGCGGCCCGCTTAGCTTCGACAGGAAGAGGTGCGCTCTCGACCCGCGGATCAAACATGTTTTTGTGCATCCTGGGGACGGGTACCCTCTGTGATCGTGTGATCAGGGGTGTTTTGGCCAGCGGAGCGTGTCGTGGCCTTAAAGGAGGATGTTTTTATGTCCTTGCTCCGGCTGTAGGAAGTCACGGAAGTTCCCGCCCGTCTTGACTTGAATGCGTATCGGTGAACAGCGTCCAATAGCGCCCAAGGGCGCCCAATTGCGCGCCATATCGCCCAGAAGCGTCGAGTGCCGTGCAAACATCACCGAATGGTGCCGAAACAGCGTCCAATAACACCCAGTGGTGCCTTATACGGGAGATGCATTGCGCCCTCTTTGCACGCTATTGGACGCGGTATCGGGCGCCATGTGGACGACCAAGAGCTTCCGTGAATTGCTTTCTTATAGAAAGGGTTTTGGCCCCAAGGCGTCCGAGGTTTCCGCGCGAGTTTGGAGCCACTGGGGCTCTGTGGGCCTCTGGGGAGGTGCTCTGGAGGCCAAGGGGATCTCCTTGGGAATCCTGGGGCCACCTCGAGCCAGAGACACTTCTGACAACACCCGAGTCGTCGCCGCCGCCGTCGTCGTTGGGAAGATTGAGAGTAGGAAGAGGTACCGATGCCGCTGTTCGCCCTGTGGGGCCCTCGCCGCCACGGTTGGATTCCCCTGGAAGTCCTGGTCATAAAGCACCCCTGGAGAGGTCTGGGAAGCAGCATTATCTGTTCACGCCGGTCGTCGGAAATTCGTGTGTTGGACTGCCTAGATTCCAGTCTTTGTCATTCCCTGGGAGGGACCGAACCCAATCTACTTCATCCGCCTCCGCTCTTCATATTTCCCCGGCGCCTTATCTAGTTTCTATTTCTATTCATCTAGCGCCTCCCTACTCCCTACCTACCCAATGTATGAGATCCGCCTCATCGAAGACGCCTGCGGCGAATCACCGCTGCACCCTGCCGTTTGGAGTCGCCCATGTGGCCGAGCGTTATGGCAAGAGCTCTGCTAAGTTATCGGACAATGTGTCTCCCCAGCCGTTGTGGAAACCCTTTGGGGAACACTTTGGGCAGGATGGCGGGAAAGGTCAGGAGGAGGAGGAGGAGGAGGAAGATCAGGAGGAGGAGTAGGAGGAGAAAGAGGAGGAGGCGGAGGAGTGGGCATCTTGGGAGCCTCTGGGAGCATTTTTGGGGCCTCCTGGGAGCTTCCTGGGAGCCTCTTGGAGGCATCTTTGGGGCCTCCTCGGATCTCTTGGGGGCCTTGGGGGCTTCTCGGGGGCCTCTTCGGCCGTCTGAGGGCATTCCTGGCCCGTCTGACGCCGTCGCAAGCCATGTGTGGGCAAATCGCTTGCCGGCGCCCTTAACAACCTTTCAAACCTTACAAGTCTTAACATTTCAGGACTGCATGAGCCTTGGGGCCCACCACTACATGCGGCAGGCACGACGGCGGAGCTGCTTCTTCCGATGGGCGTGTACTGACTTGTTTCCCTCAAAGACGGCGGGCGACACAGTCCCTGGCCCAGAGATCCGATGTCGTGATTTTTTCAAATCAGTAGGTTCGTGCGGCGTTGGCGCGCCAGCGACGCGGGCGAAGGCGTTCAAGGTTGAATCGATCGCGACCCCGATCGTTCAATGGCGTTACCGTGCCAATCGGTGCTTCCGCGTCGCAGAATTCAACCTTGAACGCCTTCGCCGGCGTCGCTGGCGCGCCAACGCCGCACGAACCTACCGTACGCAGTCCCCGGAAGTCCCGACCCACCCCCCAGGACCGGCTTTTCATCCCGAGCCGTTTTCTGACGGTCCCGCGGCCCGGCGAGGGCGTCTAGAGGCCGAGTGTTGCGTAAAACCTCCGTCTCGATTTTTCCACACGTCGGATCTCTGGGGAGCCTCCTTCCTCCTCCTCCTCCTCCTCCTCCTCCTCGTCCTCCTCCACCTCCTCCTCCTCCTCCTCCTCCTCCACTCTCACGTGCAGCCGGGACGTGCCCCAGAAAGAAACAGCCGGCGGCAACCAGGATCCTGGGCGCGCCGCTGCGGGGGCAGCAGGCGTGGCCCAGAGAGCAGCCCCGACGGCCGTTCTGCTCGGCGCCGTGAGCCTTTTGGGGGCCGCTTCCCCGCCTCGGGGTCCTTGCGGTCGTCGTCGTCGTCTTCCCGGAGTGGCGTGCGCCAGGGCGGGTCGCCGACGTCGCCGACATCGTCGTCGTTCTCGTCGTCGTCCTTCCCGTGCTGCGGTCGTCAAGGCAGGTCGCCGACGTCGTCGTCGCCGTCGCCACCGCCGCATTCCTTCTGGAGCGGCGGGCGTCAGGGCAAGTCGCGGACGTCGTCGCCGTCGCCGTCGCCGTCGCTGTCGTTCTCGTCGTCATCGTTGCCGACGTCGTCGTCGTCGTTCTCGAGCGGCGGGGGCCAAAGGGCAGGTCGCTGACGTCCCACGACCCGGAGTGGAGGGACGTCTACGGGCACAAGAGCCCGTCGGCCGGGGAGCTCGAGCTCAAGCGGAGCAAGAAGGACCCGCCCTGAGCCGGAGTGGTGGCTCTGGCGCAGACGGGTCGGCGGCGAGGTGAGCACTCCTTCGTGGAATGTGTGCTACTGTATGCTGATGCGGGGAGTGGGGGGGGGCGCGGACTATTGCACAGGCGACCGTGTTTTCAGACAAAGATGTATACAAGTGCATCCACGCGCAACGATCACGTCCAGCGCGCAAACTATTGCATCCAGGCGCCCACTAGTACAAGTACTATTGCGTTTCTCCCGGCGGAACCATCTGCGCCAGAACCACTACTCGGGCTAAAACGAAGGCTTCTGGCGTCGTCGTCGCCGCCGAGGGTCTTGTGCGTCGGGATTCCGTTTTTGGGATGCCACTCGGGCTATGCCCATAGATACATGTTCTAGAAAAACGACTCGCAAGCTTCTGTGAGCTGTCCCAGCTCCGCGCTAGGCTGGATTCGGGATACTTCTTCTTGGTCCTCAGACAGAGCATGTTTTGTATCTTGCCTGTGGGCGGCTTTTCGTCATGGCGGCGGCTGGCGGCTGGTTTCCCCTCGAGGGTTTGGTCGAGGATTAAGTCGGGCCTGCCCCCCTACAGGGGGATTTTTGATGAAAAATTAAAAATACCCCCAAAAATAGTCCAAAAACAGTCTGGGGATTATTTTTTGACTATTTGTTGATCTTTTTGGGGCATGTTTGCGGTATTTTTCTGAAACAAAAAGTCGTCGGAAATCCCCCCGTAGGGGGACACGCCCGACTTAAGTCGAGGACCGAGGGACGATGTCGAGGAGAAGGAGCACCACAGAACTCCGGCGCCCCAGATGATACAGCACCTCCCTAAGGGCTCGACGGCTTTTCGCCCATCGACTTGTGGGGGCTCAGTCCTACGTCGGGCCTGTCCCTCTACAGGAGGAATGCTCAAAGGAAGTAAAATCATAGTCGGGGGGCGATGTTTCGACTACGTTGGGATAGGTTGGAATATTTTGAGATTTTGAGTTCTTCGTTCGAAATCCGCCTGTAGGGGGATATGCCCGTCCTGAGCCAAGTCTGACAAATCAAGGCGCATGTATCTACACCGAGGTGAGTCCAGGTACGTCCTGGCAAGTTTGTGTGAATCCGAGTATATCCAGAGATCTCCAGGGAAGTTTGGAGTAAATCGTGTCCGCTCCAGTGCCTAGTATCGCCCAATAGCTCCTCAATGACGCCAAACGAGCAACCAACAGCGACCTGTGGCGCCCAGAAGCGCCATGTGAGGGAGATGCGTCATGTCTGCTTTGCGCTCGATTGGGCGCGCTATCGAGCGACACGGGAACGACCCGAAGCTTCTGTGGCCTGTTTTCTTGCAGTGGAGACCCATGCCAAGAAACACCCTGCTTGCCTCTAGGGTGCCATGGGTTTCTTGGATATTTGATGGTTATGCTATCGATAACATGACGTTCCCACACCAAAAATCAATGGACGTCCTGGGGTCTCAGGGTTGGGTTTCTTGTGGAAGGTTTCTCGTGCTCGAGCCCTTACTGTACACTCTCTCTGCCATCCCCCCGCCCCACCCGCCAGGACGGGCCTCTGATCTACCAGCTCAAGGGCGGCGTCACCGTGATGTACCTCGGGGACCAAGGATCGGGGAAACGTAAGACTCGATCAAGCCGGAGCTCGGGTTTTGCCGACGTTTCTTGATGAGCGCGTCCTGGATTTTGGCGACCCAATTTTCCTGGGATGTTTGCAGCGGGAGCTCGCGTCAAGTTTCAGATCGGGCTTCGTCATTTTTGTGGTGGCTCCGTCAGGCCAACTGGAGACCCCCGTGCCCGAGTCTTACGTCTCCCCGAAAGGAAAGAAGCCGCCAGCCGCTTCGGCGGGCGCCACGCCGTGGGCCACGCGGAGGTCGTGGCGGGCCGCGGGGGGGGGGGGAGGGTATTGCTTCTTCGGAGGCCACGCCAGGGGGGATATCGAAGAAGAAAAAACGCCATAAGCACAAACTGTTGGCGCTCAGCGCGGATTTCTTGGATCCGCGCTGGGCCCCCCGGCGGCGCCTCCGGCGCCACCCCTGGCGCGCTCCGCCAGGCAGGGGGGTCGAGCGAAGATCCACGAAATGTGCGCGCAGCGCCAGCAGGTTATGTTTATGCCGTTTTGTCCTCTTCAAGGATCGGCTGGGACGTTTTGTTTCCGGCGTTGTCGTATGTTTTGTCCTGACGTCTCGTCGGTTCTACAGGCGTTTCTTTGTGGCCTCGGGGTGCTGCTCTCCAGCAGCTGCGCTTCGCCGGTGGCGTTTCGCGGGGGCTCAGATCGTCCCGAGCGCCCGCCGGGGAGCTGAGGTACGACCCGAGAGCGGGGAGGCAACGTTAGGCGGGGCAGGTTCAGGCGTTCAGGCGGGGGGAGGTGCATCGACCCCCAGTCGCACGCAGATAGATCGCCGATTGGGGCCCGATAACTAGCTCACCCCACCCAGGAACCCAGGGCAGGGCATCCCTATCGAGGCCAATCGCCGCTCTATCGGCTCTGTATCGCCCATTCCAGGTCGATCCCACCCCCGAGCCGGTCTCCCCCTATCACTGCCCGTCAACAGGGGAGGGGTTCGCGAGGTAAGAGGAGATGAGGAGATGAGGAGATGAGGAGATGAGGAGGAGGAGGAGGAGGAGGAGGAGGAGGAGGAGGAGGAGGAGGAGGAGGAGGAGGGGGAGGGGGAGGGGGCCGTAGCAATTTTGGTTCAAGTGTCACGGAGCTAACCTCCCGTGGGTCCCGACTCCAGAGGCTCGAGGTCGCGGTGGAAGGGCAGCCCCTTCCATAGGCCTGGCTGCCGCGGCCCAGGTACTGAGCGCTCGGGGGAGCGCGCCTCTCGACCCTCTGCATTCTCTTTCAGCCTCTGTTGCCCGCGGCACATGTCCCATGGGCGCCTTGGCGATCGGTGGAAGTGCAGCCTCTGTGGATGCGGGCAGAACCTCATGCATTGGACCTGGTGCAAGCACTGCCGCAAAGGACGCACTGAAGAACCAGCGCCAGCTCCGTGGACTAGTGACGCAGGAGCTGGGCGCGGCACCAACAGGTGGACTCGTTCGGCCAGCCGCGGGCGGGGCGCAGGCACCGCAGCGGCGCAGGTCTCGGCAGCCGATCTCCAGAAGCTGGTGGACGTGGCCACCCAGATGGGAGACACAGCCACAGCCAACAGATACGCGGCGGAGCTGGCCAAGGCGAGCGTGGTCCGCCCCGTCCACCAGCGTGCCGCCGCCGCCCAGCGCAAGGCCTCGGCGACTGAGAAGAAGCTCGCCAACGCCACAGACCTCCTGGCCAAGCTTCAGCAGCAGACTACTGATCAAGCTGAGCTCGTTCGCAAGCTGGTGGGTGACCTCGAGGCCGCGGAGCTTGAGTACAAGACAGTCTTGGAGGAAGAATACCACACCAAGCTCGGCCCCAAGGAAGCCAACCCCTCCAAGCTCGACTTGCAGTCCCTGCTCGAAGGCAAGCTCAGCGCCGATGACCTCATTGACTGCGGGGACATGTTCGACCGTGGAGAAGAGTACGAGCTGGGCACCGAGGACGAGGCAGAGATCGCGAAGCGCAAGGAGGAGCTCAAGACCGCCATGCAGGCCGCTGCTGCTGAGCTCTTCAAATCGGCCAAAGAGAGGTGCGATGCCACCCGCAGAGCCCACGAGGAGCAGCAGAGGCGCCTCAAGACCAATCGGCCTAGGGCGGAGTCTGCTCGTCCTCCTGGCGGCAACGGTGGCGGCGCTACAACGGAGCCTGCCGCTGCTGGCGTCGCCAGTGCTGGAGGCGGAGCACCTGGCAGCGCCGCCCCAGGCAGTGAGGTGGGCGCCCCACAGCAGCCCGCCCAGACAGCCAAGGAGCGCGCTGCCGCAGTGCTGGCGGGCAAGGGTGCCAGCAAAAGGGAAGCCAGCCAGATGCGGGGGTAGCCCAGGGCCGCAGGGCGCGGCTCGGGTGCGCTTCGCGGAGCGCCCCACGTACCACTACTTCCAAGCTGATGCCAATGATGTGCAGTGCCCAGGGGATCGGCACTACCGTTCACATGATCTGGCTCAGACACCAGAACCAGAAGACCAGCTACATTCAGTGGGGAGTGAAGCACCAGAAATACGACAACCGACGGCAGCTCATCGGCGGCGACGGTGGGGAGCAGCTGCCTGCACCTCTCTCCAGATGGCCAGGGATGTGCGTTCCCATGGGCTGGAGACACGCGCGGCGCAGATGACGACAACAGGCGGGCTTTCCTTGTCGACTGCATCCACGGCAACTCCGTCTTCCTCAGCAGCTATGTCGACTGGGTCATCGGCAGAGTCATCACAGGAGTGGGCCCTCTCTCCCTCGGTGGCCCCATCGCCTACTTCGCCCAGGGGATGCCCCGCTTCGGCGGGGGCCCACGCCGACCTGCCTGAGCCAGCCATGTTCGCCAGATCCTCGTCGGCAGGGGACGTCAATGCTCTGGGCATCGGCCTTGCACCTTCGAGGCTGGCCGAGAGTGATGGTTCAGGCAGGGGCGGCACACGTGCCCCTTCTACGGCAGCAGATGACACCCAGCGCGGGCGAGTGGACACGGAGGACGAGAAGCAGAAGGGCACTGAGCTGAACACGGACAACAGCAGCCACAGAAGGACCAGCATGGACGGGGACTGGGACCCCTTCGACCAGCTGGAGTTGGACGCAGACGCCTTCACGACAGCTGGCTACGATGGCGACCCAGAGCCCGACGCCGTGCCAATCGCCACAGATGAGGCAGAGGGGCAACAGCCTGCCGCTCCTCTTCCTGGCGCAGTCTGTCCGTCTGAGGCCCTGGAGGTGAAGCCCTACGCTCAGGCACCGCAGGAGCATGTGATGGCCAGTCGTGACGAAATGAAGCGGCATGGCACACATGACTTTCAATCAGTGCGTTTCTACTTCGCCAACTACACCAAGTTGAACCAGACTGGGCTCGACTACGTGAACAAGATTCGCGATGATGAAGGGGACCATGTCCAACTTGGTGCAGAGACTCACCCACGAGGGCCACCGTTGCACGCTGCGATCAAGAAGCTCAGCAAGGCGCACTGGAAGGCGGAGGCCAGGCCCGCCAACGGGACCCAGGTGCAAGGGGAGCTCGGCCGCGGAGGTGCATGGGTCGCCGTCGGCGCACACCTGAGCTCCAGGGCCATCCGACTGCGACGAGCGGAGTGGTCTCAGCCAGCTGCTGGGCAAGGCATGTGGGCCGCGCGGGAGGTCCGCCTGCATGGCCACGCGCTCCTTTTCCTCTCCGCCTACTTCGCTTGCGGGGAGGGCCTCTCGGGGGATAACATGCAGATGCTAGAGGAGATGGTTAGCACAATCCAGGCCACTGGGGTCCCATCTCATCCTCTTAGCCGACTGGAATATGGAAGTATCGGAGGTTCGGGAGTCTGGGATTGAGGACTACCTCGACGCCAGGTTTGTGTTTCCAGAAGGGGCCTCTCGGGTGTTCGGCAAGCGGGTGATCGACTTCGGACTGGTCTCCTCCCACCTCGTCCCGGACCTCACTTTGGAGTGTGACCTAGAGGGGCCATGGGCCCATCCACATCTTGGCATTCGCAGCAGCTTGGCAGGAACTTTCAGGGAACGGCAGATGCAAGTCCTCACTCAGCCACCGCTTCCCCTGGACGTGCAAGGGCCTACTCTGGCCTGGGAAGTCTTCCTGGAGAAAGCTCGTGCTCGACTTCCAAGCCGGCCCCGAACAGAGTATTTCACTGCCGAACCGTGTGCCGATCCAGCTCTTACTGACAGGTATGCTCTCTTTTCAGGTGCAGCTGAGGAGCTGCACAAGTCCAAGCTTGTCGGCGTGCGCGACCTTGCGCGCCACCGCGGCTGCTCTCCAGGCCTGGCGATGAGACCTGCCATGCCACCGGCCAAACAAAGCGGACAACATGGGGGCACGCATAAGCTCGCCTTTCGGAAATGTATGGTTGCGCGGCGTCAGGACTTTCATGGACTCCGCATCGGTAAGGAGAGCCCAGGGAAGACGGCAAAACGCCAACAAGTTGGGAAGCTCATCCAGGCCAAACTCGGAAGTATCCAGGAGCATCATGTCCCCAAGGGATCTCAGGAGGACCTCATCCAGATCACCTCAGACATTCAGGACATCCAGATACAGGCCCAGCAGATGCCCCAACCGTCCCAGGACGGCATTAAAGACTTGGCCAGGAAGTGTAAGGCTATCCGAGACCGTGCCGATCATGAAGTTTATCGGGATAAACAAGCTGGGTTCCAGGAGTGTCTCTCCCAGAGCCTCCGAGGGGGGGCCAAGTGGGCTCATCGACATACCACCACCTGGGGCCACCCAGAGGCCATGCCAGCCCAAGAGCTGGACGCGGAAGGGGACCCACTATGGGACCCCTCGGAGGCTCTGAAGACAAAGCTGACTCGGTGGCAGACACTCTGGAAGGACCCTGGAGGCCAAGGGCATCCCTCTACGCAGAGCTGGTGGCAAGTTTTTCGGCAGGAAGCGCAGGCCCAGGTACCTGAACTGTCTGAACTTCAAGCCCCACAGGTCTTGGCAGCGCGCCAGGCCTTTCCGAGTCCTATGGGCATGGGGGCCGACCAGTGGAACCCCAAGCTCTGGGCCGCTCTGCCTGAGGAGGCGCACGATGAATTAGTCGGTCTCTTGCAGGACATCGAGCGCACCTGCGCGTGGCCAGAGCAGATCCTGTTGAATGAATTTGGCATGCATCCCAAACCCACAGAGGAAGGGGGCAGACCCATCACTCGGACCCAAGGGCTGCACCGCACCTGGCCCCGACTCGGGAAAGAAGCTGTCACCACCTGGGAGAAACAGAAAGCCGGATTATGGGATGCAGCCGTGCGAGGTTCTGACCCTTTGAAGGCGGCCCTTCTCAGGCACGCCAAGGCCGAAGCAGCGAGCTGGATCT